GAAGTCGCCGAAACGTCAGCCATCGATCAATAACATCAAAAACAACGACAACGAAGATCTGTACCAACCTCGCGTCAGCTTAAGAAGATCAGTTTATAAGATCTCATAAATAAATATATCAACTATTTATGCCGAGGTTCATAGAAAGTCGGTCTTTCGAGTCATATCAAAAAAAGCTGCCCTGAATAAAAGAGGGTCGCTAGGTAAAGCTCGTTCGTGAAAAGCTGTGCGATAGCTGCGATTTTAAAAGTGAACCAGTGGCGAGAATAGTGTGTTTAAGAGCTTGTGAGTTTTTTCTACTGAGGTTATGAAAGAATGTGAGTGAGTAAATTGCGTGTCAATTTGACCTTTCCAGGCTCTGAGGAAGGTAGAGTGGCAGAAAGGTCGGCCAGTGCGTTGAATATAGCATTTAATAGCGACCTTTTGTCTTTTCAAGAGGAAAGAATTAATTTATTGGTCAATAATTTTGAAACCGACCGACCGTCATTTAACCTCGATACCATATTAATCAACATGTTTTTATATTGTTGAGCTTACACGAAGTTCATAGAGATGTTTATTCGCACATCTGCAAACTTTCTACACTCTTAGGTCCTACGCTACGCCTTGTCTTCATATCAGAGAGAGACATTGTGGCTGGAAGTCATTACTATGAATGAATAAAACGATGAAGAGTTGAACGTATTCCAATTCCTCTAGGCATGCGCCATATACTCGACTTCGTCCATAGCATCGGCAGAAGTGACTGAATGCATATATGACCTATACAGATTTAGCTTTGTTTCCCAACATATCGAGTCAGGTAGGCGTGTGTAGCGCGGTGGTCGGAGGCGCCCTGCAATACAAATGAGTCGATCCCTGCGTCCTAGGCTCACCAAGCCTTCCATCTCTCCGGGGTCGACAAATGGGTAGCAGACTTGTCTTGCACGATAGCAGACTGCTCGGTACATCGGGAGGCCACCGCGAGTCATTGTAAATGCCAGATATGCATTCAATCACCTTCAGCGATGCTTAATGAAGCCAAATGCAAGACGTATCCCTCAGGGATTGATCTACGCCGAGAGCTTTATTCTTTTTTACCCTTTATCAAGTCTATGTTTCTATCCTTCCAGACAAATCTGGTGCCAACTTGTCAACCACGTAGAGGTGACACACCTCTTTAGCCAGTTGTGACGCTGAATCGAACCAAAGACCATGCACATCGCAAGGAATCTATAACCACTGCGTTACGCAGAGCCCATCACAAAGCAACAACGATTTAGATTTATTGCTTTTAAGTGGGAACAAAACTAGGAGATTCAGTCATAACTAACTAAGCACTGCATATTAGATGCATAGCAAGCATTCGCAGAACAGTTCCTATTTTTTGCATTATCGCATGTTTCCCATACACATATTAATTAGACCCTCCCAACGCTTTACCCCCTCATCGTGGCTCGAGGTGTTCCTGGGTGACGGGTTGCGATGTACATCGGGGGATTCTTCCCCGCGGCAAGGTTTCCCAAGCTGTGAAGGAGTCTGGCGTTTCCATTAGAAAACCCAGCAAAGAGTACCCACCACCGTCTTGGTATCTATCTAGTCGCATCGCAGCAAATCCTCTGATCCACAAAGGCGGCGGCCGCCTGTGGTGGTGAAGACCTGGGACAGACTTTGGCTAGGCTGACCTCGGGACTCCAGGAACCCACAATAGCTAAGCCAGCAAAACTCCGAGAAAGTGGAAATTATGTTGGGGCCCGCACAACTTGTGAAGACGGGCCATCCGAGTATCCAAGTAACTAAGTATATACAGCAGCCATATTTACTGGTAACCACATTCTCCTTACGCTCCGTGCAAATCGCTACTTAGCCAGAGCATCTCAGGCACCGACATCTGCCACTGAGATGAACATTCTATAGAAGTTTTTTTAAAACAATCTCAGCGTCATTGAAGTTATATTTCGCAATATACCCTGCATAAGAAAAAAAGAGTAGGTAGAAAACAACAAGTTAAAATTGTGATTATAACTATAGCTTCAGCTTAACTGGGTTCGTTGCCGATTTGAGCCCCCCAGATCAATCCCGCTTACGTGTGACTGCTATGGCAAAGATCGATAGAACTAGCTGAGAGACAGGCGAAACGAAGGACCCACATGGTGTGGTGGTGAACGCGTTACTCCCCGGGAAGGACAACAGCGCGTTCGTTCCGCACCGCAGACACCTTCGGTCCGGAGTTTTGCAAATATTTCAGCATCATTGAAATTCTATAGAACCTTTGAATAGCTATCTGAAGAACCATATGATAACATAACACAGCTTCTTCTACACCGTTCTATGTGATGTACCTTTCCGTACGTAGCATGCCCTGGTTTAAAACAGCTCTATCAGACTACGCTAACTGAGAAACATTCTAGAATCCTCCTTTTAACATCATCTCCAGTTTCTTCCGTAAAAACTCCACCCATTACGTAAGGAATGCAAGGAGCATTATTATTCACCCAGTTAGTCTTCCAGTGTTTCGCTCAGCTTCGCTCATGTGTTTCATCCGTACTGGTACCCTCAACTAGAGGTCGTCAGTTTGTTAATAAGGTATTTTTATCACTGCTATAAACATTTATAATCCAAGCTTGAGGTTGTTCTTTGAAGATGAAATGAAAATCGCGCCATCGAGTACTGAACTTACAAACTCGTCAGCACGCGTGTCCGAGTTTGATTGGTTCATCCTTGTACCGTCCATGATTGTTGCTCCAACAATTTGAAGCTGTACATTGTTGTTGTGAGGTAAAAGGGCGAGGAACTCTGTTACACCCTGTCATTCGCGATTCATCGAGATTTCTGTAAATAGCACAGTAGTAGAAATTCGTCTTGAATAACTCTACCTTTTGTCTTATAAACCTGGATTTCATTAGGGAAGGTATAGATCGGAACTATTCATGTTTATTTCAGTTCTAAGCTTTCTGTGTTCGTTTTGTTGTTATTATGATTCTTCCCACATCATGCTGTGTTCTTGTGGACTCATTTGTGACAGCGGAGAAGTATATTTCAGGTTGTAATGAGCAACCGAATTGTCCGTTCGTTTATTCCACGGCGCAAAGAGAATGTGCTCAAGGTAGTCGTGTTAATCGCGTTCTGCTTCATAGTGATTTACTATAAGCGGTCTGGTAAAGGTGCGTCTACGTTTCCTTTCGGAAAATCTTGTAGGATATCCTCGTATTCTCACGCTGAGTCACGTAATATCTGTCATCTTATTTTACACTATTATTAGCTACGGTTATTAGGAAAATAAAGTGTTCGGCTTTGATCAGTCCTCTGGAGATTACCTCAACTATGTTTGGTCACTGTTTGTCCTCCTAAACCAGTTTATTACTAGTTTGCCGACTTCAGAATTGGTGAGTGGTTGAGGACTCGATGAGCCTGAGACGTGGGTAAGGACTAACGATCATGTGAATCGTGGATAACTACAACCATAGCGCTACGTGCACATTTTTTTTAGTATGGTGTCAAAAATTGTATTTCCCGCCCTGAGGGAAACACTCGGAAAGTTATTCCACTCACTCAAAGGCTTCTATATTGCATTTTTTAAAATTTTATTTTACATGACCCGTCTTCGCGTCTACCATGTGGATCCCAGCACTTCTCACATTCGATTCGTTTTCGCCGCATCAATCATCCACGAAGATCTTCCAAATTTTACATGTGGCTTATGTTGCTGCTTGAGCACTTTTATCTCGAATGTCGTAGAATGCTGGTCGAGTCGATTTTTCGTGGAGTCCTACGATTGTTGGGCTAGAGCCTTCCCAGACAAGTTCGGTACCAATTTTCCGACCCCGGAGCGTTAAGAGGCTTGGTTGGCCAGGAGCGGAATCGAACTAGCACCGTGCTCATGTTGAGCGGCATCACTATCATTGTGCTATCTGCTCCTTGTATTAGGAATCATGAAATGTAGTTGTCACAGAAGTTTTCGGTTTATTCCTATAAACTCGTAATGGTGTTGTCCTATTATTTAGCCCAGAAAGAAAGCCGACCAACGAAATGGGCTTGGGATCGCGGAGTACAGCGTTTTGAAGGTCCAGGAGAAAATGGCGAGGAGGTGCATCTACAGGGTGATGAGCAAAAACAGGGAGAATTGGATATGAAGACATGGTTCATGAATGTGAGGGCGAGGTAGGATTTGCCGGTTTTCAGAGTTTTAGACATCAAAACTATCTGAAAGTGTAAGCATTTTTGAGAAGAAGGTTTTTATTTATATTACTAATGAGGGCGACATAGATTCCCTTGTAAAACATTGAATATTTTTACCAGTGCCTCGATGTAAAGAATACTAGAAAGAATTTTTTGCCTTAGATTTTTTATAGGAGCTGCTATATTTCAGCTACCATGAACCTCTGTGACTACCTATTATGTAGAGATTGCAACATATTGGTGGTTGCTTACAAAACTGTTATTAAAAAAGGATAAAGCTTTCGGCGTTGATCGATGCCTGAGGGATGCGCCATGCATTCTACTTCACTAAGCATCGTTAAAGGTGATTGAATGCATATCTAGTCTTTACAATGACTCGCGGCGGTCTATCGATATATCGAGCCAGTACTGCTATCACTCCAGTCAAGTCTAGTACCAATTTGCCGACCCCAGAGGTACGGAGGGCTTGGTGAGCATGGGGCGATGGGATCTATCTCATGTGTGTTTCAGGGCTTCTCCGACTACTGCGCCACATGCACCTGAAACCATTATTAAGATTGATTATATTTCATAAAACATATCTCGTCGATTTTTTCTCCATTAGACCGAATTCCAATCTTAATTATTCTCGACCATCAACTCTTCAGTGATTTAATGTCGTTAGATCGAAGTCTTCCTGATGCCAGAAGAGAAGAATGCTTGGATATTCACTACGATCTGGACAGTTTACCACAAGTAGGTGTAGGTTTACTCTCTGCGTAGTAGTTTATTGAGATCCGCTATTGCTGCGTGTATAATTACTTCTTTTTTGGCTTCGGTGATTATCATTTTCACTGATGAAGCATGGAGTCCTTTGCTGAGAACAGTTCACTCTGTGGTTAATAGAAGCCCACCACAGTTACTTAAGGAAGTCATCCTTGTCGATGATAACAGTCAGCGAGGTACATTGTTTGCCTTTCATTTCCGTTTTCGTTTAATATGTCTGAGTATTTGAATGGTCTTTCGACTGCTTTTTAAAACATTTGAGCTTTCTGACTGAGAAATACATTCACATATTACTGTGGTATGGTAGGGTATTGATCTAAAGCCTCTGAGCAGCCATGGGTTTTGCTAAATGCGTTATCTTTTGGGTTAGTCCTGAACTTGTAATACAGCCTTAGCTCGTAGTACTTCCTTGTATTCAATTTATTTATGTAATAGCATTTGCGGAGGTTGTTGTAATAGGTTTCTTCGTGTTTATGATATGCATACATGATCACGGTGCACTAAATATGTGATAGCTTCTATTCTTAAAAGCATAAAAGGAAAAAGCTTTCAACATTGATCATTCTCATGAGGGATGCGCTATGCATTCGACTTCACTAAGCATCGTTTGGAGGTTATTAAAGGTGTATCTGGCATTTAGAGTGACTTGCAATGGCTCACCGAAGTATCGTCCTAGTGTTGTTGTCCTCCTGTACAAGTGTTTTACCAATTTACCAACCATCCGGAGGGATGGAAAGTTTGGTGTGCTTTGGGCGCGGGAATCGATCCCGAGTGTATTGCAAGGTGCCTCCGACCACTGCACCACACTCCTCCCTGTGAGACTGGTAGAGGAGGAACGCCGTTTAAAAGTATCTTTAGGGATTTCAGTGCACACTTATCTGTGTATCGGCTCTGTGGAGGTTATAAACACCTTTTCAAGGTGTTTCATATAATTTTAACTGAATGCGTATTTTTCTTTCAAGAAACGTATGGGTAGACTCAACTGCAAAAGCTTGACGGTGCTATAGAGGTGTAACATTTCAGCCATGCTAAGTTCGGTCAGTGTTCGTCGCCCTAATTAATGATTGTTTACCACCTTCAGGTGAACTCAAGGGGCGTCTTGATGATCATATTCGTCGCTTCGGTGGATTAGTTCGTATTGTGAGGAAAAATATCAGACATGGTTTAATTAGAGCTAAACTAGCCGGAGCTCGTGAAGCCACTGGAGATGTGATAGTTTTCTTAGATTCGCACTGTGAAGCTAACGTTGGATGGTGAGTTTTTAATAAACTGTCATAGATATCACGAAAATCTCTGTAGAATTGTCTTTATTGTTATTTGAAGCAGATTAATTCTCTTCTACTCTAGTTGTTTGAAAAAGAAGTCTTCTCCAAATTTCGTGAATTCCGAGAAAATTTCCGGATGATTCTATCTATAGTATCGTATGATGGGGTGTCATGTTTCCTCACACTTCTCTCATTTTTTCATCACATATCATCTTAGTTTTAGCAATTATTTTCATTATTGCCATGTAATTTTATGGTGGGGCAAGATTTTCTTTCTCTGTGTACACATAAGCGACGACCTTCCCAGCTTTTGGCCCCGGGCAATCGCCAGTCCTTATAGATCCAAGGGAAGTTTACTACCTTGCGACTAGGTTGCTAGTAGACCGGTGGTGATTTCAGTTTTAACGTTGGCTGGGTCTACATGTAGAAATTGGGTTTCCTGCTCGGCTTGGGTGATTGGAGCAATGAATTCCTCTTGCAGTTTTATACCCAAGAACACCACTTTTCATGTTAAAGTTGTAAATAGTTGGAGGTTCATTATTACAACCGTTCAAAATTTCAATTAAACGGTGTATACTATGGCATGTGTCGTTTTTGTTATAGTTCAGATTCTTTCCAGGTTGGAGCCTTTAGTTCAACGTATCAGTGAGAAAAGAGATGCGATAATCTGCCCTAGTATTGACGATATATCCGCTCACAATATGCGCTATAATGCTGATAAGTATTCTACGTCGATTGGAGGTTGCTTTTAGTCATTTCTCTTTTCGCAAGGTAATATTCAAATGCTCACTATTTGTTCTAGGTTTTTCCTGGGCTCTTCATTTTACATGGGAAGGTTTGCCAGAAAGGGAAAAGAATAGACGTAAAACTCCTACGGGATATATAAGGTTTATAGGTTGTATCGTGTATAATTTATTTTTCCTGTATTGTTACTTTTTTGATATGTAAAGGAGACAGCATCTTAGGTAGCAGGATATCTCAGTATTCTCCTTACAACATCACTTTATGTGGCGGTGTAGCAGACCCACGCGCTGGAGTTTTTCTTTGCATAATTTTGAACTGGAACATGGATTCCTTCACTGCATCAGATGAATGTCTAGCTTGATGATGCCATGTTTACAAAATAAGTAGCAAGAAAACGCTGTGAAAAAGCAAATGAATATGCGAATGGTTCGCTCTGGAACATGTTCAGTACGACCATATTTTGGGTCATCTTAGTTCTTATTGCCGTCTGACTCTTTGTTGTCACAGGTTTTGTTTAGATCTCCCACTATGCCTGGTGGACTATTGGCAGCTAATCGGGAATACTTTTTTGAGGTCGGCGCATATGATGAAGAAATGGATATCTGGGGTGGCGAAAATCTCGAAATGTCGTTTAGAGTCAGTATTTTCAGTGTAGCTGGTATACCTTTTGATTAGTTTCCAACACTTACTATCAAGTAATTGTCAACACATACAATCAATTTCGACTTGTTTAAGGTATGGATGTGTGGCGGATCAATAGAGTTCATACCTTGCTCTCATGTTGGGCATATATTTCGTGCAGGGCACCCTTATAATATGACAGGTCTGTTCTTATTTGTAATTTATTTCCTTGAGTAGGTTATGAGGAGGATCGGGCAGTGCTATAATTAGGTAAGCCTGGGAGAAGTCAGGTTCATAAGCTTGAAATGGTTGGAATAGTTACTCTTTATTATATAAAAGTTTTATGCCCGAAAACTGCAGGTCGTGGAGGCAATAAAGATGTTCACGGAACAAACTCAAAAAGGCTTGCAGAGGTTTGGATGGACGATTACAAAAGGCTTTATTATCTTCACAGACACGATCTACTGGTGCGTTTTCTATTAGGGATTTTGAACGTCGTTTTAATGTTGTCCCATTGCATTGTTAAGAATGTTGATGTCGGTGATCTATCGGAGCGTAAGGCATTAAGGAAACGCCTTGGTTGCAAATCGTTCAAATGGTATTTGAATAATGTTATTCCAGAAAAATTTGTACTGGATGAAAATGTCAAGGCTTACGGGACGGTATGTTCGTTCATTGTTCTCCAGCAAATTATGCTTGCTGAAAGGCAACTTTTCCCATAAGATTCCATTGAGTTTTCATTCTAAACATTCAAGCAATAACCAAATGAATGAATAAGTATTTAATGACGAAGCGGAAGCGTATTTAGTGTTGGTAGTTGAACTCAAAGTGTAGTCACTTTTATATCTACTGCCCATTCTTTTTCGTAGCAGGGTATACTGTAAAATATGACTACAATGATGCTGAAACTAAACCAAACTAAATAATGCTAAGGTATTTCCAAAATTCTGGATTACAAGTTTCTGCATTTGGGATCGAAAACACTACTAATTTTTCAGGTGGCTAACGTGTTCACCACCAGACCATGTGGTTCCTTCGTTTCGCCCTTCTCTTAGCCGTGTTTCAATCCGTAGGTGCTATCAGCAACGATTTTTTCTTCCTAGATCAATCCTGCAGGCGGTGATTGCTTATAGCACCTGTAGATTAAAACACGGCTGAGAGAAAGGCGAAGCGAAGGACCTGCATGGTGTGGCGGTGCCCCGGAAAGGGTAATATTGTGTTCCACGCCTACCGTGGATACTTGCGGTCTGGGGTTTTGCAGATATCTCAGCGTTGTTGTAATATTTGTAGTTTTCGGTTTTTAAAGGATATTGGGTCTGTTCCAGCTATTCACTGTTGTCGATGGCTTTCGCATGTGTGTTGATACTCTTCAACGGGATGAGAATACAGTTCAGATGTTAGGCGTCTTCGCATGTCAGGGTAAAGGTAGTGCTTCACAGGCAAGTATTATCTCGTAATGCTAGTGTGCTAAGTGTGTAGTCAAACATAGGTGTAAGGAATGCTCCAAAACAACTATTACTTTGTTTTTTCTTCTTACTATTTATCCCAGTCCTGTTTGTCCAATAGTTTTCCTTAAAGTGTTAAGAGCGTCTATTCAGTATGTGGGATTTTTGTATTCTCTTTCATATCACATGGTTCTGCATAATATTTTCAAAAAATAGTCATTCAATATGGGAAATACTTTTTGGCCATAGAAGTTTTTTGAATTTTATTTTTCCTTTCTTTTTGCAAATTTAATCACTTCTAGTAATTCTTTTAGGAGATTTTTACCGTGTTAGATATTTTCCCAACTGTATCCACCAATCTTCCGTGAAGGAGAGATTACTTCTTTAGTTAATGTCTCTTTCGAAAGATGGTCAGTTGCGCAGAGAAAAGAACTGCGCCGAAGTGGTGGTGGTGCGTGATGGAAATCCACGTATAGGTGCAATTAGGATGGCTCCTTGTACAGAAAGTAGTCCCGTTTGGGAATATACAGTGGGTTTTTTAGCATCTAATAGTTTATATTCACAGGCCTCCGCACTTCACCTGTGTTTAGGATTCAATGCTGAAAGATAGCAAGACAGGTTTGTGCTTGTCAACATCAGGACTGAAGAGCAGTGAAGATGTGCTGATGGAAGAGTGCACTACTCATAGCCTGCATCAGAAATGGCAATTCGTTGATCCAAGGATTTAGTATTTGCTTCTAAATAAATTTGTTATTTGTTATCATCTTACTTTGTTGATTACAGTTTATATTTTTATCTAATTTGATAAGCTGTTCCTAGTATGCTTTGTTGTTGTTGTTATTTATGGGTTTACATCGAGTCATTAATGTCTGTGATAAATATTAAGTCTTGCAAGCACTTCATGTGTATACTGTTTCGAATGTGGGTGTATATATTAAGGATCAAATGTTTTTATAAAAGTGCTTGGTTAGAACATGAAATTGTGCGAACCTCCACTGCTTGGTTGACAGTTCTATATGCCTTGTAAAGTGCATAGATGTCTCTCACGTAGTGACAGAAACGTGTGTTCTGCACATTATGTTCTTAGAATGAGTGCTTCTGGAGATGCCGATGTGGTGTCATGTGGATCCGGGCCACTTCCTGATGTGTCCTATCCGTTGAAGGTTATTTACTGTGGAGGTATTATTATCTGAATGGCTTTACTTTAGTTTCCTTTTTTGGGCCTTGTGGAGCAGTATTGATTTGTACAGAGCTATTATGTCTTTCATATTTAGAGTGCTCTATGCCGTTGGAATATTGTGAATATTCTGGAATAACTGACAAGTGTCGAAAATGGAGCGAAGAACATGCTCCAGAAGCACTTAATGGGATTGAGATCACTTCAGATTATTCTGGTGAGAAGAAGCATCAGAAGAGGGGTGGTAAAGGAATCGTGAAGGTATCAGTTGCTGTTTGTTATCAACATAACGTTCATTTTAACTCAACGGAGTTAAGGCCGATAAAAAGAAACCGGCAGCAGACGCAAAAGTGACTGTGCAACGTGAACCGCGAGGAAAAAAAAGCGTTACAGTAATCAGAGGGCTTGCCATATTCGGTGAGATTGGGCCGTTCATCGAATGCATTTAAATCTTATGGATCATCATTTCTGATGGAGATACTCCTGCCTCTTTATCTGATGGTTAACCAAATTTCATGCTATATATTTTAGATATCGATCTTAAGCAAGCGTCAAAATTATTCGCGCAAAAATTCGCTTGTGGCAGTTCGGTGACAGGCGTTGATGAGATTGTCATACAGGGTGATGTGAAAGATGACCTGTTTGACATTATACCATCAAAGTGGCCTCAGGTATTTCTCAACTTTTAACTTTCATAAGCTTTCAGTCGTAGGCAGTCTTTTGTGATTATTTTGGATATCTACTTTTTTCTTTCTAAATAATGGTACGTCTGGTGCAGTGGTCGGAGGCGCCCAGCTACACACATGGGATCGATGCCCGCGTCCCTGGCTCACCAAAGGTTACATCTCTTCTGTGTCGGCTAATTGATACAAGACTTATCTGGGAGTATAGCAGCACTAACTCGGTCGTTACATCGGTAGGCCACCGCGAGTCGTTGGAAAGGCCAGATATACATTCGATCATCTCCAAACGATGCTTAATGAAGTCGTGGGCTCATCCCTCAAGGATTGGTCCACGTTGAGAGTTTTTTCCTTTTAATAGTTGCTTAAGGAATCGTTTCCGTTTTTTTTTTTATGCTTTCAAGTACTACTTTGCTAATCTCTTATCCCGTCAATTTTTTAGGTCACAGAAGACATGATCGATGATCTTGGAGATAAGAAGCGATAGTTACTATATGAACATGATTGCTTTTATTCGTGAATTGTTGGATAAAATTAGTTTTTAATTGTTTTTATACTTTGACTACCTCATTGCTTACTCTGGCAACGAACTTAGTTATTGCTTCCACTAATGTTGCTTTATTTTGCTCCGTCTTCTTAAAATGAATGAATTGATGTTAAGGGGGTCAGAGTGGATTATATTGAGAGTGATGCGATGGCCATTAACGCAAAGACAGCGGTCTCGTATACTTAACTGGCTCCTTTTCTGTATCGCTTCGTATTTCTTTGTTACGTGGAGCCGTGAGGGAGCCAAGAAATTTCAGGGTGCAAGTCATGCACGAGCTTATACGGTACGTGTCGCGTCTGTGTTAGAACATAGTTATAAAAGTGGAATACTGTGCTGAGTAAAGAATGTGAAGTGAGGTAAAGTCCCACGAAAAGATGATACTGTGAACTGTAGGGCTGTTATGCTGCTAATTTCGAAACACTTTGAAGGCAATGCTCAGCGAGGAATTCGAATTGCAATTACAAGTTCGTCACCGAGGTAGATTGTCGAGAAATCTCAGACATCTATGTCATCAAATCATTAAAGGGCTTTTCTACTGTTATGATCTCTGTTTAATTTGGCTATAATTAGGTACGAAGTGTGGGTGGCTTGTCTCATCTTTTCTGGTAATTTGTTTAATTCAAGTAGTCAAGTCGTGCATAATCGAACGTCATGATGTTGTACTGTTTTGACGTGTGGGTTGGGAAAGCGCAGTACGTCCTTCATGACCACTGGATACCACCACAACTTGTCTTTCTTCGGGTTGTTTGGAAAATCATCAGTCTCTGGGACGATTGCTGAGTTGGACTGTACGAAAGTTTACCATTTGGGATACAGTTTTATATGTTTACATTGCAATTAGACTCATATACCTCGAGGACTTCGTTTTTTAGGGATCTCGAAACACCGTATTTGGGGGATTTCATCGTAGTTTTATGTTTACCTTATTTGTTTAATACTTTCAGCAACGCATTGCACTTTAAGTGGACAAATAGAAAATTTAGCAGAGATCGGATTACTTTTTTAATTTTTGTGTTGTACTTCTCTCCTCCCAATTGTTCACCGCTTCATCGTGACTGGGAGACGTTCCTTGTCAGGCTGCGGTGTACAGCGGGGGGATTCGTCCCCCGGCAGGCTTTCGCAAGCTGAGAAGGAGTCCGGCGTTTTCATCAGGAAGCACAGTTAAGAGTAAACTAATACCAGGATCCACCACCGTCCTGCTATCAAAGTCACATGGTGGCAAATCCTCCTCCGATTCACAAGGACGGCAACTGCCTGTGGTGGTGACGACCTGGGGCAGACTTTGGTCTGACTCACCTCGGGATTCCAGGGAACCACAACGGCTAAACCAGCAAAACTCCGTAAAAGTGGAAATCATTCTGGTGTCCTCACAAGCAGTAAGGACGGGCCGTCCAAATATCCAAATAAGTAAGTTTGGCTTCTCTATTCTCACTTCTTTGATCAACTGATATCTAGAAGATGACAAATGAACGTCACAACTTCCATGGTTTCTTAGTATGGTCTAGTAGGTGCGTCCCCTTGTGTCAGACAAATGGGTTGCCGTGTGCACATTAGAGCTACACTTTATTTGAATAAAGTTTGTTTTCTAGTGCCACACTTGAGTTCCCATGGACCATATACGTGTAGCTCTTAAATCATTACCGAAGGTTACTCAAAATCTGATGTCCGGTCCACTTTTCAGAAGCGTTTTGTTATCTAACTGCAGGTACCAGCTTCTAAAAGGCGATCTGGCCCTGGTGAAAATGGAGCTGCTGTGTACCTAGAAGGCAACGAGTGGGAAAAAGGTCAAGAACAACTGAAGACATTTTTCATGAATGTCTTAGCAAGGTTCGTTTGTACATCGTATTTGGATGGTGTATGATAGTAAAACTTTAACAAATATTATTTAGCGACAAGGTCTCGTTAGATCGAAGCATCCCCGATTCAAGACCACGTGAATGTCTTAGCCTCTCATATCCTAGTGATCTTCCTACAGCATCTGTTGTTATTGTATTCACTAACGAGTTTTTTTCGTGTAAGTTGTTTACTTATCCTTTTTTCACAGGTCTGCTAAATATATCATCTAATTTCCACAACCGACGCATTGATCTGACTGACTATTCCTGTTGAGCAAATACGAGGTGTTACTTTATTCTTTATTCCGTTAAAGCTGACGTTTCGGCGGATTTCGCCTTTATCAGAGCTTGGAAGAGTATATTGGCAGACAATTTATTATGTCAAACGCTCCGATAACACATACGGAAGGATGAAAATCTAAATAGCAATCACACGATCAACAGCTTCTCGAAAAAAACCTGCCGTTTTTTTGTGTGCCTTCCACTGAGGAAGAACAGCTGATCAGAGTCGCATATGGTCGGTAAATGCACCACCCCACATCAAAAGTCGATGCGAAGGTACGGGGTCAGATCACATGTGATCATCGCATGCAGTTTGTATGAGCTTAAAAATCGGCTACGCTATCAGGCCAAAAAGGAAATATCGAGCAAAATTGAAAGTCAAGAGGTGGTGAGATTAGCACCGTCTCCTTACCCTAGAGGGTTCTTTAGGCAGCAGGACACTAACGTTGAAGTCGATACAAAATTCCGCATATTTTCGGACGATGTTCTCAACACCCTTAATCACTATCGCGGTAGAAAATTCATCTCTAACCTTACAGCCCCACAAAAATGTGGCATGCGAGAAATTAGAGAATTAATAAATTCAAAGATCATTAGGCTATCAGTTAGCGATAAGGGAGGAGAGTTCGTACTTATTTCTCGCCACTTAGATGTTGAGACAACGGAGCAACGTCTTCGTGATGTTACCCATTATCGCCCACCCTCTGAAAAGGAATACAGAAGTCAACACCGAAAACTAAATCAGTGGGTTAATGTGACCGCTGCAGGCATAAAATCATCGATTATTTCGCACTTTAAAATCAATAGATCAACATGCTTTGTCTTATACCTAGTCATTAAAACAGAAGTTGGTATCACCGGATGATCTTACCTCAACTAATCCATTCATTCAAGGTGAGACCCATCATCAGTTGTGTAGACGGGCCAACGAATAGAATAACCTGGTTTTTAAGCCTAATACTTTCCCAGTTGCTCAAACATATTCCAACTCACCTTACGAACACCCAAATGTTCCTAGAACTTATACGCAACGCGTGTGTAATGAAGTCCTTCGACGTTTTCGCGCTGTACACCAACGTATCGAGTGACACCGCAATGCAAGCCGTCCACGAACTTCTTGTTGAACATGAGAGAGGAATACATATGCATGGATTGTCTATTCAGCAGCTCGTCGCTTTCTTAACAGAGTGCCTAAATTGCTCGATTTTCAGACGGTCTGGGAAATATTTCGCGCAAATAAGGGAGTTCGCAATGCAACAGGGACTGGTACCAAGCCTTGTCATTGCATTTATGTCTAAAGTAGAAGCTCCCGCTCTCGATCTGCGGCTGCTACTCTACTGCAGATATATAGATGATTGTTTTGTCGTCTTCCCTACGCAAAAGGAGACGGACAAATGCTTCGAATCATTGAACGAGAAGTCTGAGTACATTGAATTCACCCGGGAGAAATCGAAAGAGGCCTGGCTTCCATTTCTTAACGTTCAAATCAACTTATCAAGTAACGGTTGTATGACAAAGTGGTACCGCAAACCAAGTAACAAAAACATCCTGGTTCATTCCCTTTCTTTCCGTTCTTCACACATAAAGAGGGCGCTTTTGAGGAACATGCTTCGAACAGCCACCTCTGTGCACACAAATACGAAACTAAAGGAAGAATGGCACGACTTGGCTCGACAAATAGCCATCTCCAGTGGCTACGAAATAGTAACCCCACGAGATTAGCTTAAAAGGAGAACGACTCCCCAAAATGAACGATTTGGCCGAAACAAAATCCCCTTTGTCTTGCTCTTTATTGGCGATGAAATAAGTATAGCAATAAAGCAACGCTTAAGCAGAGCAGATCTAGAGGAATCGGTAGCGATGGTTGAAATACCACCCGATTCCCTTCGTCGTCAATTAATTCATAACCGACTATATGACCGTGTATGGCGAAACACAAAGTTTCGTAATTTGTCCTTACGGCAGGGACAGTAACTGCATAAGTTCAGGTACGATATACCTGATCTGTTGTAGTATTTGGGGAAATGAATATAGACGAAAAGGGCAGACCTGTATGTATCCGCATAAAAGAACACCTAGATGGCAAACGAAAAGCGAAACTAAGTACCCTACTAGGGAAGCATAGGAAACAAAAACATGGCGGAGACGATTTTGATATCAAAGTCAATGTCCTCGCACAAGACGCCAAAACACCAACGCACAAACTTCCAGAGGTTTTTTGGATAAATATCAGGAACTCTAGAACAGCAGGTAAGAATGCCCAGGGATCACACGTGATCTGGTTTCGTGCCTTTGCATCGACTTTTGATGTAGGGTGGTGCGTTTATCGACCTTATGCGACTCTGATCAGCTGTACTTCCTTAGTGGAAGGCACATAGTAAACGGTGTTTTTTTTCGAGAAGCTGTTGATCATGTGATTGCGATTTAGATTTCCACCTTTCTGTATGTGTTATCGGAGCGTTTGACTTAGTAAATTGCCTATCAAGAAACCCTTCCAGGCTCCGAAGAGGGCGAAATCCGCCGAAACTTCAGCTTTAACGGAATAAAGAATAAAATAACACCTCGTGTTTGCTCAACAAGAATACCGAGAACTATATCACTTAACTACACGGAGCTTGTTTTATACGTTTAATATAGTATGGGAAGAGTGACTTACATGATGTCAGCTTGGAGAGTAGCGGAGCATTGGACGAAAGATTCCTCGTTGCTAGCAGGATTTCGAGTAAGGACTGAGTACGAAGTCCACAAAGTTGCGAAACTAATTTTTATCCTTGCGATGGACTTCAGTCGGACGAGCACGTTCATGTAGGTCTCAGACCATCGGAGCACACCATTAAGTGCGTAAAGTTCCTTCATGAACCATATTAGGATCTCATACTCGACATTTTCCAATTATATAAAGATAACTGAGCGCATGAAGCACAGTGGTCATAGGTGCTCTGCAACATATATTTTATCTTTGGTCCAGTCTCATAACCTCGGTTACCCAAACCGTCCGTTTTGTCGAGGTCGGCAAATTAATACAAACTTGTCTGAAAAAGAAGGAGGCCCACTGAATAAATCGACAAGCCATCGCAAATCATTGCATTGGCCAAATATCCATTTGACAACCTCCACGGTGCTACAAAAAACTCGAGTGCATAGCCCGTACCACAGGGATTGATCAGCGCCGAACTAAAGAGTTTTAACATCACTATTGAGATCGTCTTGCGAAATTTGGAATAGGGTAACATGACAGCGAAAGTCCATAGTGGGCTTCTAGATGTTATTGCAAGTGCAACGAATATAGTGAACCAACCAGCGGCTCCGTGGTCACTGAGCGCTCCAGGATATTTAAATGACATGGCTGACCTCGGGACTCCAGGGAACCATAATGACTAAACTAATAAAACTCCGAAAAAAAGGAGATTATGATGGGCTCGCGCAACCAGTGAGGGCGGTCCATCTAAGTATCCAAGTATCCAATGAGTAGAGGAGTACCGGGTAGGAAATATGTCCGTTTTGACAAAGTTTCTACACGTTTGTATTTTCGGGATGTATAAATGATCCGGGTTATCTGTATAGTGCTCTTCGTCCCAAATTTTAGTTCTAGTATATAGTGTAGCAGGTTGTATTTAGCGCTCCTTCGCACTGTTCATTCTGTGGTCAATCGAACGCCGACACGTTTGCTTAGAGAAATAATACTCGTTGATGATAACAGTGACAGAGGTTTGTTTTGAACTTTTTTGTCCTCTGTCGTGAGTAATCCCTATGGTACATTCGTGGACGATTTACCTAGTTTCCAACAACGAGTGTAGAGTTCACGATGTCTTTTCTATTCTTGACAAACGATTAGAAGTGAACACGAAAAATAATCTCAATGACAACCGTAGGTGTTCCACGCGATTGTGAACAATTTTCAACGCATTAAGGGCGATGCTAGTTTTGTCACAACTGCCGATGATTTTTGATAATTAGAGTGTTTGAGGAGTTTACGATATGAAAGACTTATCGAAGAAGTTTTGGTCCATGGCATCAAGGGTATACTTCCATTTTGGTATAATTTTGGCCAAAATATAATTTTTTGTAGATCATTGTTTCACCAAAGAATAAAGCTTTTGGCGTTGATCAATCCTGAAGAATTCGCTATGCATTCGACATCGCTAAGTATCGTTGGAGGCGATTGCATGCTTATCTAGTCCTTACAAAGACTCGCGGTGGCCTACCAATGTACCGAACCAGTGCTGCTATCCTCCCAGACAGTTCTGGTAGCAATTTGACTACCCCAGAGGGATGTAGGGCTTGCTGGAGCGGGGATCGATTTTATGCTTTTTTTATTGTTTCATTTATGGAGCGGGTAGTGCTAGCGTTAGTGATGCTGTTCATCACCAGCACCATGTTGGTTTGACCTCTTTCTGGGCTCACCAACCCTGTCACCTCTTCGCGATCGAGAAATTGATACCAGACTTCTCTGAAAACAGTCCACTCTGTGTAATTCAAGTAGGAACTCTCTTTCCCTGCTCGTCCAGAAGTCCAAGGAGAATCTATGCGGCCAGTTTTCAAGGACATTCCGAAAGAAGACAGTCCTCAACCAGCAGCCGAACTTAGTGGCGAAAAGTTGGATAACCTTTGTGAATGATGGATGCGAGGAAACGAATCAAATGCGAGAAGTGTTTGGGTCATGTAAAATAAAATAAATCATTTGTTCATCACATATTTTTCAAACCGACCGTCATTTATCCTCGGCATTAACAGTTAATGCTTTATTGTATTATTAAGCTAATATAAGGTTGATAAGTTGGTTTAATCGGCTAACGTTTTGACGTTTTCGTCTTCATTAGAGTCAATGGTCCGTAGTTGTTCTATTTCTCGATGTGGCGTCTTCGTCGTCGTAGCGAGACGAATCTTCTTCAGACGAACACCGCTCGAATGGAGAACGTTACCTAGGTCAACATCGGCCCTGTATGAAAGGGAAACGCCGAGAAAAGTACTTCATTCAGGCGGTGCTACACT